ACCCCCCCCCCCCCCCCCAATTTCTCCATTTGCTGATTCAACCTGTTTTAGCAGTAATACTGAAGATTGGAGCTCCACAGCACAGATTACCAAATGTATTCAAATTGTCTAATTCACAAATAATTGAATAGAAGAATAAGAAAAATTTTAAAAATCTGTATAATTATACACTTCAACTATCATAATACAGTAAAATCTTCCTCTCTATTAATTTAAAAGCAATCAGGGATTTGAAAAAGGGGAATTACATAATATGAAATCTAAAGTTCAAATAATTTTCTCTACTCTAATGCTCAAAATCCATTCAAAAAAGGGATATACGAACATAGATACACGCACATACAGAGAGAAAGAGTGAGAAATATACAGGTTCTTCAGATACGATACAGAGTTCACCATGAGAGACGCCTCTCTTAACAAACTCATGAGCAGCATAACCGGCAGCCACTCCTCCGCCTACTATTGCATACACAAATGCTCTTCCCATTTGTTAAACACTCTGCCGCAGCCAGCCGCCCACAGTCCTCTTTCTTCACACACATATATATAATTTCTGCATTTCTTGAAAATTGGGTCATTAGTGCTGACCCCAAAAAACTGACTCCTTGAAAATGATACATACAAAGATTAAAGGGAAAAAAAAAATGTGAAAATAATAAGGATCGCAAAATTCCCAGTTTCATTATCCTATTATATTATCAAAAAATTACACGTATTATCGAAATTAAAGATGTAGAATTTGAAAAAGACTGAAAATGTACGAATCATAAATTCTCAATCCATCAGCCCGTGATGTCAAAAAAAGGTTGGCCTTTAACAAGATTTTCTTCTGAGTTTACCCTTTTGCCCCTAGATAGTGGCTCTAATTCGATGATAGAGAATATTGCAACATTGGTCCTTAGTCTAATGTCTTAGTTGCTAATTTATCACTTTCTTTTTTAATTATTTATTTGGAATTTATTTGTACTTTTTTGAAAATTTTGGCAGTATAGTTGTAATTTTTTCTTTATTTTTGTTTTGTTTAAAAAAGGAGGATATATTTGTTATTTTACAACTTTTATAAAAATGATGATTTTTCGAAATAAAATGTGAAAATAATGGTGAAAATATAAAAAAAAAATGAAAGGTATGGACGTTTTGCACAATAATATTAAAAAGCATGGATATTTTGTGCTAATTACCCATTTAATAATTTATTTGGACTTATTCGCACTTTTAAGAAGTTTGGGAGTACGATTGCAATTTGTTATTTAATTTTTCTTTTCTTTTTGTTTTATTCAAACAAGAGGATAAATTTGTCATTTTACGTAAGAATTTGAATGAAAAATGATGATTTTCGTAATGAAAGGTGAAGGTCGATAATGTCAAAAAATGAAAGTAATGACGTTTTACACAATAGCATTGAAAGATAGAACATTTTTTTTTTCCTAATTATCCAAGTTTTGAGCATCATCTCAAGTTCTAAAATAAAACATAATCGTATAAAAGGATAATTAGCTCATAACATTCATACCTTTCATTATAATTATGAAAAAGAACCATACCTTTCATTTTTTTAGCATTTTTATCCTTAATTATATATTTGATTACGCAAAATTTCATTTTTATCTATTTTCATCCAATTTCTTCTTTAGATGAAAAGTATTCTATTTTTCCGAATAAATTTAATCAATGCTCACCCAACTTCAATTTATATTACTACTTGCTCACCCAACTATAAAATATAACATGTTGCTCACCCATCCATCTAAACACGTACCCATCCATCACACATTTAAACTTCGTCAACTTCAATTAACGGAATGTGCTATTTGTTGGATGGAAATTTTGACGTGGCACATAAAAGACATTAAATCAGTCTAACTGGGCTTAAAATTACCACGTACCAAGTGAAACCCCGTTTTCTCTAAAGGAGCCTCAAAGAAGGGGGAAAAAATAAGAAGAAGAAGAATTCTTCCCCAACTTGGAACCCTAAAAATTGCTCCCAAATTCCCAACTCCTCTGGCCTTGAATTTCATCTCAGATTGTTTGTGTTTAATGGTCTTTGCCATTCTATTCCTCCCACAAATTGCCCACATGGTGGCCAAGAAAATTGACAACAATTGCATGTAACCAGAAGTTGGTATGAAATATTTGAAAAATCAGAATATTTGAAAAAAGAAAATCCCCTAGCATTGGTATGGATTGCAATATCACAGTGGAAGAAACAATATTGGTGATAGATGAAGAAGAACCACCACATGGTAAATTTACTAAACGTTTCATTGGATTTTGAATATTTTTTTATGGGATCACAATTTTTTAGTTGTGTCTTTTCTATGTTCTTTTCTTTGGAAGTACATTGAAAAATTGAATCTGAATTTTGTTTTATGGGACCATACTTTCGTTGTTTAGAACCATATTTATGCATTTTTATTTGCATATGTGGTGCGGATCCTAACCTCGTGTTCCATTGTAGACCTGACCTTTGAAGAAGAGGAATGGATACCTCTCAAATGTCATTTGAATAATTCAGACGATGAGGTTAATGATGATGGTTTCCAATTTGACACAAATGCACCTGAACGTGTTGTGGTGGGATTTAATGCAGACCCAATGGTTGAATTTGAGGTTGCAGGTATAGAGGAGTTAGAAAATGATGATGGTTATTGTCCTAGTGAGGAAGAATTGCATACTGATAATTCTTCTAGTGAAGAGAAGAATTATAGCTTTCCTATTTATGATGCTGAAAAGGAAAAGCATGGCCGATAGTTAGAGGTTGGAAAGGAGTTCAAAAATATTGAGGAGTTTAAACAAGCTGTTAGGAACCATGGGGTCGCAACTAGGCACAATTTTAAATTTCGGCCGAATGATGATGAGAGAGCATGCTATATGCAAAAAAGACAATTGTAAATTTAGGATTTGGGCGTCTTTGAATAAATCGCTTGGTTGCATGCAAATAAAATCTAAAAATTCAGAGAACACATGGATACGGGACAGAACAAATAGGCATTGTACAGCTAGGTATATAGCGGAGAGGTATTTGGAGACTTTTAAAGTAGATCCTGATTGGAAGACTAGACTGATTAAGAAGATTGTAAAGGATGAATTGAAATTGACAATTAGCGATGTTACTAACTGGCGGGCTAGAAGATATGCTAGGATATTAATAGAGGGTTCCTACCTCAGTTGCTATGAGAATATTATTAATCCTATAAATGGATCAAAACTATGGCCCTCAAGTGATGCCCCACCGATCAAACTAAGAAAACAGAAGGAGACAACAAGAAGAAGATGTCATCACCCGTTCAGGCTCAAAAACATAAATGAAGAAACATGGATTTGTGCTTATGACTTGTAGTGTATGTGGAGGAAAGGGACACAAGAACCGATACCATCAGAGGCCTGATGCACCACAAGAGGATTGTATTCTTTTAAATAATTTTAATTGTAAACATTTCATATGTTTGTTTAGAATTATTAGTTTGCTCAGAATGATTATAATTATTTCACATGTTCGTTTATTTTAGGATTGCCTTGCTTATGATGTGGAGCGTCCAATTCAAGAAAAATCTAGTCAAAGTAACAACCAAAACTTAAAGGTAACCTAATATATTTTGTGTTTTACAAAACTGATTATTTTTTGCTTAATTTGGTTAATCCATTTTTGCATAGGCAAAGCTAGTGCCTAGGAGATCAAACACGACTTCAAGAAATGAAGTTCAACCACCATGACCACAACCATCTAAGTTTCAATTCATGTCGACGCCTTGATTAGTTTTAGCAAATGCCACAGAATATGATTGGAGTGATCCTTCACTTGCTGAGCGAGGTTATTTGAGAACTAAAAATATCCCAATCCAAAGAAAATGCATAGAAGAGGGCAGCCACCCATGCAACGAATCAATAGAACAATAATTTGTTTTTATTACTTTAAAGTTATGCCATATTTTGCAACAAACTAGTCGTGGTTGTAATCAAATGCTTAATTTACTGTTTTGTGCTTTCATTGTGGAATGAATGAAGGCTTTTTTGATGTTAATTGCATTGTTGAGATGTTCTTTGTTTCACACTATCAATTGGGAATAATGCAGTCATATGTTATATGCTATAGTTTTTCCATTCAGTCATGTATCAGAACTCTGCTACATCACATTGCGTTTAACTGATGCATCAAAGTTGTGATACATGTATCAGGCTGCATATGGATAGCTAGTGCTCCAACTTAAATCAATCATTAACAAACCAACAACCACAGCCATATACCCCAACCACCTTTAATACATCAACCACAACCATATACCAGCAACCTCCATCAACAAGAAACCAACAATTGTCATATAAAAAACACAATAACATATTAAGAATAAATCCTTAAACACATAAAGGATTAAATTCCATTCCATTTATTTATTAATTCATTACACAGACTGCTGAACATATTCCAACATTCTAAAAGTATTTCCAATTTCATTTGAATAATACAATAACATTTACATATTCATAAGTATTCCTTTTTACAGCTTGACATTACTACTCCAAGACATAACACATTAGCAGCATGGAGTGAAGCATCTTCTCCTTTAAAGTGCCTTCTTCTAATTTACTTCCCACTAGTTGTGACTTTTGCAGAATCAGAAGACCTTTATAGAAACTCTTCGAATCCGCTTAACAACCTGCAAAGAAGAGATCACATTCAACCTGTTACTAAAAAAATCATTATTTTTACTTCCTTCACCGAAACAGGAGTCAATCATAACTGCCTCTACCTCCGCAGCTTCCGCACCAGTGCCCCCACAGCAGCCATGGCAAGAGGTTGCTATATAGCCATTTTTAAACTCAAGGCCACAAGAGTCTGGAATTTGGGGGAGATTTCTACAATTCCAAGTTGGGGAAGAGGATGAATTACTATGGACGCATGAAAATCTTAAATCAAAGTATGCAAATATCAGTACAGGATAGAAAATTAAAGCATACACATCAAAGAATTGATGGCATATACCCAATTTAGATTAGAGACTCGAAGCCCAGAAATGGAAAATTGAGAGGCAAAGAATCCTCAAAAGTTGGAGCCCTAAAACAAATACAGGAACTTGACAAGCGTGTGAAGATGAAGCGAGAAGGATTATAATATAAATTCTTAAAAAGTTTCAAAATCTGAAAGGGACACAGAGAATAAAGAAAAGGTCCAAGAAAAAGATGTTTTCTTTTGGTGGAGAAAGTGGTTTCTTTAAATTCTTGATGATGGGTTTTCACTTGGTGCGTGGCAATTTTAAGCCAGATGGACTGATTTAATGTCTTTTACGTGCCACGTCAAATTTTCATCCAACAGGTGGCACATTCCGTTAATTAAAGTTGACGGAGTTTAAATGGTGATGGATGGGTAAGTGTTTACATAGATGGGTGAGCAACGGGTTATATTTTATAGTTCGATGAGCAAGCAGTAATATAAATTGAAGTTGGGTGAGCATTGATTAAATCTACTCCTGTTTTTCCTCTTTCCTCCCTGTTTAAACCCATTTCCTCCTCTATTTCTTCCTATGGAAACAAACCTTTAGTTTCTTTATTAGGAATTTATTTACGCACAAATCACTAGTTTTTGGTGCCATTGGATTTAAAATGATGTCCCTACTCTTTCTCCATTGTATGCGGGTAGCGTTTAAATTTTTAACGTTGCCCAAGCAGCCCATTATTACCTGTTGGCAAACAAGCTTAAGCCCCATTTGGTACCTATTTTTTTCAAAATGTATTTTTCTCTCTTTTTTTCAACGACACATTTTTCATTAAAATAATATTACATATAAATAAATAAATAATTTCTTATTTTTCAACCACACATTTCTAATCAATTTATTATTCCAAAATGCATTTTTACATAAAAATGGCTCACAAACACCCTCTTAATAGCTAAAGCTATGGGGCAAAGAGAGAATGGGAAAGATGAAATCAACGATGTCTTTTCCAATTTCAACAAATAAAACCCATTTTCATATTGCGTTGATCAAAAGCTTCATGATAAATTTGAATTCTGTCATTTCTTCTCTCAATTATTCTAGATTTCTTGTATGTTAAAAGTCTAATAGAACTTATTTATGCACATACTGATGGGGGGTTTGATTTCTAGCCATCTCTATCAAAATTCTTGATTTTTGAATGGTTTAGTAGAATATTATAGACAATAAGCCGAGGAACTTATATAAATTCCTAGTAAGGAAACTAAATGTTAGTTTTCGAAGGCGAAATCAGGTCGAATGGGGAAGAAATAGAAAAATGAAGGTATAAACTTTTCACAATAATAGTGAGAGGTAGAGAAGTTATGTTATAATTTCCTATTACAAAGTTAGATGTCCAAGAAGTACATGACATTCCAAGTAATATTGTAAAACTGATTTGAGAATTGACTCGGAAAAAAGGTCAAAAGTCAATGGTCAAACCGTTGGTAAAACTTTTAATAAATAAATAAAGACTGAATAAACTATGAACTAGCTGATTTTTGAGTATGAACCTTTATATTTGATAGTTATTTTTTATGTGCTTAAAGTTTCAATTTCTACATGATCAAATTGGTTCTCAATCTTTTGGATGAAACAAGTAGGTTCGTCCAATTTTGTCCAATTTTATTATTAAGCTCCTGTTTGATGCCTATTAAAAAGAGTGTTTTTTTTTTTTTTGGAAAAAATAGTTTTTGAAATAGTTATATTTTGGAGTTTATGTTGGTTAAATAATAGAAAAAAGTTTTGAATTTATATTCAAAACATTTTATTGTGAAAATATATGGTAAAATATGAGTTTTAGGAAAAAAAATTGTTCAAAACTAATAGACAAACATGGGCTAAGATTGATCGTACAACCATAATAAAATTTCAATAATCCTGATTGTAAAGAATCATTCCCACAAAATATATCCAGAAAACTCACAAGGGGTGGTTCCTATGTGAATTTTATGTTGAAAAAATATAACCACCCATCTCATGAATTGTGTGTGATCTGTAAGAGATCTGTGCACCTCGTTTTTGTAAGTGTAGCGCAGTTGATAAAATTATTGGCAAAAACTTGTTACAATATTTTAAAGGTTATGGATCACCTTGATACTAAAGCAATGGATTTGGAGGCGGTGGTGCAATTTTTTCTTCAACGATAAGTCACTGTATAAAGGAATCATAACCGTAGATGGAAGATTACTAGACCAGCGGATCCAACAGATCGTTTTTCCATGGAGCTAAGGAAAATGGGCTCTTCTGTGGGACCATAGGATAGGAGGTGGTCAAATTAGAACACAACGCGTGTGATAAAAAAACATCGCTTTGGAAACTGTGATGTTGATGATCCACCGTATCATGTTGCGTGCGTACACCTCCTCGTGTAACCGATTTGTGGATGAAGCATTACTTCCCTACGACCCATGCCTTTATGTTATGATTTTATCCACTTTCTGAATTTATATTGAATAAATATTTTCTTGGTCCCATTAAAATATATTTGCTTTCCTCTTTCGTATATTCTAAAATTATAGCTCTGTTTAAGTCACATTCTTTCATATAATAATATTCATAAACAATGATTAAATATCATTTCAACCATATATTTTTTAATGAAATAATATTTCATTCAAATTAAAAAAATTTCTTTATTTTTTAATTACATAGTTCTCATTAATACACTATTCAAAAATATATTTTATGAAAATAACGTGGCTCAAACAAGGGCTAAGGATCACTTTTCTTGTTAACAGTATAATTAATTTTTTTAGTTTTTTATTATACCTCTTTTTAAAGTACCTTATATATTAATATTTTTTTTTAATCTATGTACAAATTGAAACAATTATATCTTTATTGGACGGAGGGGGTAATATCTATCATCAGCGTTACTAGCAAATCAATTTAAGTGATCCTATGTGATAGATTTAATGAAATATAAAATAAAATGACTCATTTAATGCTATCTTATTTTATTTTCATACAAATTTCATACTTGCAATCTAATACACTCTTAATATCAATTAAATAATCGTGTTTCAATTTTATGCAATTAAGTAATTATAATTTCATTTCATTTCATTTCATTTGTTTAATTATTAATTAAATGTATTTAATTGGTTTCGTCTTCAACCAAAAAATTATCATACTTGTCAATCTTTTATTGGTAGCTAGCTGAGAGAGAGGGAGAGAAAGAGAGAGATGGTGAACTGCTTGAAAAATAAAAACATACCACCTCTAAAAAATTGTTTTCCTTGTTTTTTAAAGAAAATATGGTTAAGTAACCAACTTTTGGAGAATTTTTTATGAAAAAGTGTGAATCAAAGTATCAAACCCGTTAAAAGTAGAAACTTGGTGAAAAATGGACATTTTTCATAAGAATAAAGTCAATTAAACATACTCTTATTGCTGTTGCAACATCAATTGAGTTAAATATGACTACTCCCTTATAAAACAAATAAAAGAGTAATATTTTTATTTAGGCTCATAATCATCATGAGTTTAGGGGCATTTAGATAACATTAATTAATATATCATCTTAAATAAGATTCATCATTTTGAATTTAAGATGGTATATTGATTAGTGTCACATAGCACTTGTTTGGAATATCTTAAAATGTTGAAGTCAAAGTTAATAATTAATTTTAACACACATTTTTTTATATCAAATTTTGTTAAAAATAAAAAATAAAAAATCAACTCTCAATGTCTACTTTCCTTCTTCTTCTTTTTTTTTCATGAAAAATATCGTACCACCTTTAAAAATAAATTTTGAAATCTTCCAGCACAAGCTACGACGAACACTATATTACCCCAATGACAAGACTTACACCAAATATAAGTAAGCCCATCTTTGAGCCCATTATGATAAAATATATATTTTGGAATAGTAATTTTTTTAAAAACGTGTTGTTATAAAATAAGAAAAAATTTCGATTTACATATAAAATTATTTTATAGAAAAATATGAGATTGAAAATAAGTTTTGAAAAAAATGAGTTTTTGCAAAAAAAAAAAAAAAAAATGCCAGACATAGGCTAAGTATTGTTATTTCTTTATTTCTTGAAATCTTAACAAACTTTACATTCAAAACAAAGTCTTGAAATTGGGTGCAGTTACTAATTTTTAATTCGATATGTACAAAATGAAAACTTCATTCTCGATTTTACGAGAATTTTGACCTCCTCCTTTCTTTAATCCACACGAGGTCAAATTCCGATTGCTGTGCAAATGAATGAATCTTTTAAAAATTTTCATTGGTTATAAAAGGGTTGTGTTATATTTTGTTTCAAATGGTGTACATTTAAAATGCTTGGCTCTTGATCAATTGAGTTGCTTGAATGATTGGATTGAAATGAACTAATCAAGAACTGATTAAAAATCCGAATAAATAGACAATTTTTCTTTAGGAAAAATTGCAGTCGAGATACCAAAACTTTCATTTATTAGCAGACTTTGCTCAAACCTTTAGTTTGTGCCACCCACAATCCCAAACCTTTTAAAAATATGCACCAGAGGTTCAAATGGATGGAAACCGTCCGTTTAACCGTTAGTTGACTAGAAAAATCAAAATTTGACCATTTTGGATCAAATTGGAAAGGGCAAAGTGGTACTTTGCAACTTAAAACCCAAAACCAGAATACCCCATGGCCACCATCACCGATTCACCCAATCCACCCACATCGTCGTCAGAAAAATTAGCTATCAAATCTGGAGACACCCAACCTTAGTTGAGAAGTAAATTTTGAAATAGCTATCAAAACTTCATCCAATCCCAAACTTAAATCTCAAATCATCAAACACGGAAGTCAAGCTTTTTATGCAATAGAAGTCAAGCTTCTGTGAACTAAGTTCGAACTCAATTACCTTATCCAAAAAAAAGAGTTCGAACTCAGTTCTTGACCGATAATGGAGACAGTGTTTAGGGAAGAAATGTTGGTATAGGTGGTCATTTCTGGATTTGGGTTTATGTTATTTGGAGTAGTTGTTATGGCGACAATGATGGTGGGTGATTTGCAGGTGCGACGGCGTGTTGGTGATTGGGCGATTCGATTTTTGGTTTTCATTTGGGTTCGGCGGGATTTGATTTTCCAATGTGCCGTAGGGATGAGTTTTGTTGGTTTGACTTTCGCTGCTGCGAATGGAACGTGACAGTGGTGAGCGGGAGTGCTGTGGCGACGGTTGTGGCAATTTCCGATGGATGTAACGCCAGAGAAGACGAACTGCTTTGGTGTGGGGATGGTATGCCGGTGGCAGACTCGTTTCTGCTGCCTGTTGGTTTGATTTCGAGGTGGGGTGGGGTGGTGTGAAGAAGATGACCGGTTTTCGTTTCGGTTTTAATTTTTTTTTTCAATTTTCTTTTTTTTTCTTATATTTTTTTATTTTTTGATTTTTTTTTCAATTTATTTAATATGGTAATTATCAAGTTACCATTTTATTCTTTCCAATTTGGTCCAAATTGGTCAAATTTTGACTTTTTTAGTCAACTAACGGTCAAACGGACGGTTTCCATCCATTTGAACCTCCGGTGTATATTTTTGAAAGGTTTGAGACTGTGGGTGGCATAAACTAAAGGTTTGGGCAAAGTCTGATAATAAACGAAAGGTTTGATACCTCGACTGCAATTTTCCCTTTTTTTTATAAATCCGACATCTTGATGACTGGATTTCAAATATGAATTTTACTGGGATGGATATGAATTTGACCAGATTCATATTAGATAATCTAATGTACTCATCAAAATCCTCATATTTAAATTTCTTTTCTTTAGATTCTATGCAATAAATCTTATTCTTATCTTTCCATGCAATCAAAAAACACGTCACTTCTAATGTCATTAAAACTTGTATCAATGATTTGTCAAAAGCTGTGATCGCATCCGAAATTACCTAGGTGGTGAATCAGGGGGGAAGGCCGCCACTAATCAGAATTAGTCAGGCGAAACTTGGACATCCGAGTTAAAAAAATAATAATAATAATAAAACGTCACTTCTAATGTAATTTCATTAAAACTTGTATCCATGATTTGCCAAAACAATATCCTTTATCAATCCAAAAAAATTGCAAAATATTTCACCAACAAAACATTATATACTAAACTACTGACGTACACAATAATCAATAATTATAACAAAATGAAGGGCCCCCCAGGGCACATCCAAGTTGGCGGAACAATTACATTGGGGGGCTCTGAAACCAAGCGTGGGGAGTTCGATTCCTGGTGGGAACCTTTGATCCAATAAAGGAAGAATTATTGGTGGATTAATCACCATGGAGGAGGCTCCCTTTGGGAAATGAGTAAAAGTCATGTGGGAACCTGGGAACCAATAAGGGCACATCCTGCGATTTACCTCCCTGAGCAGCTGAGGGGCCGGAGGTTCAGGGACGAGGATATAGTCTGGCGCAAGCTGGGACACCTCGTTAAAAAATAAAAAATAAAAATGAAGGTATAATAAATTGGGATGAAAAATGCACAACAGAGAGTTTAGATCAAAAAATGCAAACAACTTAAAACTTTCAAAAACTAAACATTGAGAAATATTCTAAAAATCCCCAAATAAACTAACACAATAATTTCATAACAATCACATGAAAACTAAGCCAAATTTGTAAACTAACCAAAAAAAATTTCCTTGCACCAACTTCAATTGCTACAAACAGAAGTACAACAACAGAGAGAAGACTTTTTCATCAGCAAAAACTGCCATGGCTCGTGAGAAGAAAAAATAAAATAAAATCACATGATAGTGGATTTTTCAAAAAAAATAAAATAATAATAATAATAAAATTGATGAAAGGGTTAGTGAAAAAACCTAACCCAAATCCAAAAATCGCACAAATTTCCTCTCGTTCATAGAGAAAAGGCCGGACAACCAAAAGACATCAAAGTGACTAAAAATTCATTTTACAGGGAAACATAAAACGAAGCTGCTGCACAACGAAATGAACGTAAAGTTTAAAAATGATGATAATAATAATAATAAATAAATAAATAAATAATAGCCGATCATTTGCACTCTTTCAATTTAGTTAGGATATATTTACCAACATTACATTCATTGTAATTTGTATAATTTCAAGTTTAACTATCATCAACAATGAATGTGTTTGTGTTAACATTTTTCTAATAGATTTGTACATTAGCCCTTGTTTGAGCCCGATTTTGGGGGGAAGAATGCATTTTAAATAGTATATTGATGAATAATGTGTAATTATGAATTAAGGAAAAGTTTTGAATTTGCGTGTACTATTATTTTATTGAGGAATGTGTCGTTAAAATTAAGTTTTGAAAAAAATGTTGTTGAGTTTCTCCAGAAACTCTCTCTCTCTCCAAACTCTCCGCACTGTGCGGAGAGAGTTGAGAGATCAATTGATTTTTTCGCACAGTACAGAGAGAATTTTTTTCCTTTTTTTTTAAAGTTATTTTATTTATTTCTTATCAAAGGTAAACTAAAAAAATAAAAAATAAAATAGTTTAAATTTAAGAAAACCAAAGAGAATAAAAAGAAAGAGAAACGTGGAAAAAAAATCGAGCTCTGGAGAGTTTGGAAATAACTTGACATTGGTGAAAAATATGGTAATATGAAAAAATAAAAAATCAAATAGAAAAAAAATGAAAAATAAACAAAAAAAAAAAGTTTCTCCAAACTCTCTGGAAAGTTTCTCCGGAGAGCTATCCAAACTCTCTGGAGAGTTTGGAGAAACTCTCCGCACTGTGTAGAGAGATTTGATCTTTCCACACACAGTGTGAAGTTGTCCGTAACTCCCGCACACTTTGTGCGGAGTGTGCAGAGTAACTACACATTTTTGTTAGAATACCGAGAAAAATATTGTTTTAGTGTGATCTTTGATATTAATTTGATGAATTCATTTTTATTAGAATACTGAACATTTAGTTTTGCTAATTTTATTGTAGATGTTTAAAAAAATAAAAAAATTGCTCTGCACTGTGTGGAGTAACTTCGTGGGAGCAAAGTGCGAAGTTGCTCCCACAAAGTGTGGAGTTACTCTGTGCGGAGTTACGGACAACCCCGCACTGTGCGGAGAGATCAAGTGATCTCTCCGAACTGTGCGGAGATATTTTCTTTTCTCTTCTTTTCTTTTTGGTTAAGCTGTTTTCTTGTTTGTTTATTATGTAGGAATGTATACATATTTATTATATATCAAAGGTAAACTAAAAAAATAAAAATCAAATAGTTTGAATTTAAGAAAACCAAAGAAAATAAAAAAGAAAGAGAAATCGAGAAAAAAATCGTAGCTCAGTGCGTGCGGAGCATCCGAAGAGTTTGAAGATACCTCGACATTTGTGAAAAACTATGGTAATCTAAAAAAAATAAAAAGACCAAATAGATAAAACGAAAAAAAAAAACCAAGAGCGTAGAGTTTGGAGGGTTTCTCCAGAGAATTTGGAGAAACACATCCAAACTCTCCGCACAGTTCAGAGAGATCAATTGATTTCTCCGCACAATGCGGAGAGATTTTTTTTGTTAAGTTATTTTATTTATTTCTTATATGTAAGAATGTTTAAATTTATATTATATATCAATGGTAAATTAAAAAAATAAAAAATCAAATAGTTTAAATTTAAGAAAACCAAAGAGAATAAAAAGAAAGCGAAATATGGAAATTTTTTTTAGCTCCGTTGAGTTTGGAGATAACTCGACATTGATGAAAAAATATGGTAATATGAAAAAATAAAAAATCAAATAGAAAAAAATGAAGAATAAACAAAAAAAAAAGAGTCGATCTCTCCGCACAGTTCGAAGAGATCACTTGATCTCTCCGCATAGTGTGGAGTTGTCCGTAACTCTGCACAAGTGTTCAGAGTAACTCCGCACTTTGTGGGAGCAACTTCGCACTTTGCTCCACAAAATGCGGAGTTATTCAGTACAGTATGGAGCAATTTTATTTTTATTTTTTAGAGCATCCACAATAAAATTAGCAAAACTAAATATTTGGTATTCCAACAAAAATAAATTCACCAAATTAACATCAAAGATCACACTAAAGCAATACATTCATATTTCAATGAAAATGAATTTACCAAATTAATGTCAATTTACCCAATTACGATCAGGCAATACTTTTTAGGAAAATAATTAATTATACAGCCTAAACAAGAAGGTGGAAAGGAAAATATGAATTCTTTTTTATAGAACTTGGAAAAAAATCTAAATCAATTCCATAAAAAAAAATACGAAGAAAACACTACTAATCATTACGACCAGCAAAAAATTTTTTTGAGAAGAAATGGAAGTAGAAAGAGATATTTAAATTCATACACCTCTTCAACTGCGTAAATCAATTCATAGAAATTATTGTACCTGAAAATAAGGAGTATGAGTGTCTAGTATGGTCGCCGAAAATAAGCAGCAAAAATCGAGATGGACGTGAGCTAAAGAAGAGAAAGAAAGAAGGAAAAAAAGAACTTCAACAGTGAAAAGTAGGAAAAATATATAGATAAAAATGACGGCATTTTCTTCTCTCATACAGTAAATTGGGATTCATTTACTGTTTTATCAACAGTGGCAACTCGTTGAGCTTTTTAATAGAAGATAGAAATGGCACACTTATGATGCTTCTTACATAGCAGATCTATTTTCAGGGAGATTGTTCATATTCATGGCATTCCATTGTCCATTTTTCGGACGGAGATGTCAAATTTATGAGTTATTTTAGAAAACTTTACCAACAAAACTCAACACAAAGCTTTCCTTTTCCAGTGCTTTTCATCCATAGACAGACGGGCAGATCGAGGTTATCAATCGCAGCTTGGGGAACTTATTAAGATGTTTAATCGATGACTACGCAGCCCACACTGCCAGCTGGGACTTAATTCTATAACATGTCGAGTTTCACCTTCAACAACTTAGGGAGGTGTATTCAATTAAGACTTTTAAAGACTTTGGGGGATTTAAAAAGTTTCGGTGTATTGAATTGAGACTTTTAAAGACTCTCTAAAAGTTTGGGTGTATTCAATAGAGACTTTTAAAAAGTCTCTATAAGTTTTGAGGTATTCAATTAAAACTTTATAAGAGTCTCCACAAGTTTCGGGGTATTCAATTAAAAAAGAATTTCGAGGAATTAATATTTTCGTAGACTTTCAGAGACTTTTGGTAGAAGCCGTCCATAGAATTCTCACAACAAAAATCTCTCATCCATCGAGAGATTTTTCACAAGCCGGCTATTGTTTTTCTTCTAGGGTTTCTCCTCCATTTCCTTCAATCAAGTAATCATGCTTTGCACCTCTCTATCACTCCCTCTATGAGTATTTTGTTTGATTTATGGATAGACCCATCTCCAAAATTGCAAAATCGAAGAAAGTAGTTCTGGAAAGTTTTTGATTTCTGAACATACCCACAGAAAAACACTGGTATGATTTGTGTGGGTAGAATGATTTTTGTACGTTTTTCACTTGAGGGAATTTTGACACCTTACATCACAGAACGGAAAAAGAAATAAATAAAAATGACGCTTTGGCAGGGTTTACACAGAATTTAGAGATAAAAATCATTGTGATTTTAATTGACATTAATAATGGCTTATTATGAAAGGTTCAGAAGCCTAAACGTTATCATTTCATTAAATGGCCACTATTTCTATCATTGTGATTTTAACTAACATTAATAATGGCTTATTATGAAAGGTTCAGAAGCATAAAGGTTATCATTTCATTATATGGCCACTAAAGAAATAGTCGTCGCTGTGTTTGGTTATATGTTTGTTAATGTAGTCTCGTAGGTAAATATTCATTTTGCTGAATTTTCGTTGATGTAGTCTAGTAGGTAAATTTAACTTAAAAGAATTTTGGCACTAGGGGATCACCTTCGTGAGTGTCATTCCATTAGTTGCAACACTGAGAATATCTCTCAATCTGGTAGCAGCGCCTAGTGGTTGAAGATTGATATTGGCGTGTCCCATCTTGTCATCGGCCTTGAATCGGTCTTGATAGAAAACTTCCTATATAGTTACAGTACCAAATTCATAAAGCCTATTGAAATACAGCTAGATAGCATCTATTTTTTCAAGCTTTGGAATATTATTTTCGAGCACTAGAATGAAACCCTGTGACCACAAATTGCATTGCTCTATTTTTTCTCCACATGGTCTTAGATTGCGGGTCTCTACGGATAAATAAGAAAGTGTCATCTTGTACCATAGTATTGGGCTAGTGAGAGTGGTTAAATTATTCGTTTAAATTATTATGCAGTCGAAAAGCGTTAGAAAAAATTTACAAATTCAACTTCGTTGATTAGCATAGAATATTGAGAATATTGATAATTTCAAGGACAGAGGTAGACCTGGGCTGTAGTCGAGGGAAGCCTTCACCTAAACAAAATTTATAACCAATTAGGATATAGTGAAGATGAGAGAAAGTGAGCTCTAATAAACGTAGTGCAAAAAAGGGGAAAGTGTTGTATATTTATTACTTGATTTAGAAACATATGAAATTTGAGTTATTGGTTAGTGAAGTGTATGATTCATATATTAGCACTCATACTTATTTTTTCCTTTAATAGTCACATCCTGAAGATAAAAGTTATCGCACAGATACTTTTCCAGACGATGAGGATTTGAGAATTGCAGTTGGAAGTGGGACAGCTGTTGGGACACACTCAATTGCATTAGGGGATGATACTGATGCAAGAACTTCTTATACTGAAGAAAGAAGAGTTCGTGACAGTTTAATAGACGACTTCATGTATGATCTTGATACTGAAGCATTTATAGTAACCGATAAGCAAGGTTTTATAAGTTCAGAGGTTTCCCCATCAATTCAAAAACGAAGTAGAACAGAATTTGAAGCAAAATCTAGTTCGTTTGAGCCCAAAAGCACTCAATCAGACATTATAGACAAACTTGCCAGTACAATTGGCAAGATCACTCAAGCAATTGAATCAATTGACACCAGAGAGCCTAATTGTTGGAACATTATCAAGGAGATCCCAAACTTGGATGATGATGATCGTTTCAAGGTCCTTGATTTGCTTAATACAAAAGCAAAAAAGTCTGAGTTCTTGAGCATGATGCCTGAATAACGTTCTAAATGGATAACATTTAAATTAAATTGAGGCTTTGTTTTTTTTTTTTTTTGGATATGATTGGTAGTAACTTTAGAAGTTTTTGAATTATTTTTTTTTTGATTTATTGGTTGTATTGTTTTGATATTTTATTAATTTGATGACAATTGATTCATTTTACGTGATATTATCATTATCTTTGTCTATGTATTAAATTTTTGTTCCTTCTATGTTTAGGTACTTCCATATATATAATGTCTAATGTTAACATACATGAAGATCATGAAAAAGAAGTGGATGAGAATGAAGAAGATGACTATAAGGAAGCATTTTATGAAACCAGACGGTATTTATGGATGGCAATTCAAGCAATTCTCTATGTGATAAATGATCTTGTAAATAATGTGCATTGTGCACGTATTACACGTTCACTAACTAGACGACCAAAAACTAGATGTATGACTATATACATAAAATATTAAAGGAGGATCCAGAAAACTTTCGACAAGTTTATAGAATGTATCCAGATATATTTCTAAAATTAAGCAATATCATTAGAGAAAAAACACCCTTACAGGATATTAGGTATATTTGTGTTGAAGAAATGCTTGTAACGTTCCTACTTATTGTTGGTCGAAATACTAGATATTGCTTGATTCATCAAAAATTTGGTCGATCACATTTCACTACTAGCCGAAGTTTCAACAAGATTTTACAGACATTAAACAAATTTGCGGTAGATATGATGGTCAAACCGGGATTCGTTGTGCCAGAAAAAATAAGGGAAAGTACAAGATTTTATCCTTACTTTAAGGTAAGTGATTAAATAAGACGTATTATAATTATTATTTTTATGTTTTCATTAGTGTTCTCGTGAATTCGTTGTACTGTTTTATTATTTTTAGGATTGTATTGGAGCTATTAGTGGTACCCATATTCCAGCAATGGTAACTGGACGTGATACAAACAATTACAGAAATCGTCATGGAACAATTTCTCAGAATGTTTTGGCCGCTTGTAACTTTGATTTGGAATTTATATACGTGATTAGTGGGTGGGAGGGATCAGCACATGATTCTAAAGTGTTGAGTGATGCTTTAACAAGGAGAAATGGACTTAAAGTGCCACAAGGTACGACTTTATTATTTCATATTTTTTTTATCTTATTGTTTCGTAATTACTTGTTAATTTTACAAGTATTTTATATTCAGGTAAATTTTTTTTGGGAGACTGTGGATTTCCAAATCGACGTCAGTTTTTAACTCCTTTTCGAGGTGTCCGTTATCATCTTCAAGATTTTGTTGGTCAAGGTCGTGACCCTGAAAATACAAAAGAGTTGTTTAATCTTTGTCATGCTTCCTTGAGGAACGTAGTTGAGAGGAAATTTGGTATATTTAAATCAAGATTCACAATTTTCAAAACAGCTCCTCCATTTTCATATCGTACACAAGCCGAACTCGTATTAGCTTGTGCAGAATTACACAATTTTCTCCGGAAAGAATGTCGGTCCGATGAATTTCCAATCGAACCCGATAACAAAGAGTCTTCATCTTTTTCGATTAATGAGGGGAAAGATTTTGGACCATTTTTTGAGAGTCAAGAACAAGAAAGAGAGAATGCTAATGCATGGAGGGCTGCTCTAGCAGCGGATATGTGGAATGATGTTGGAATTTTTTGATTTTTTGATTTTTTTTTGTTGATCATTACTAAAATACTATTTTTTTAATATTTTTATTATTTCTTAATCTACTTGATATAAGATGAAAAAGTAAATATTTGTTTTTTTTTTTTTTGTTTGGAGAAAAATTGACATGAAAAATACGATTTATTACTTTACATTTTCAATTATATGAGTTGTGGACGATTTGAATATATAAGAAGTTAAATATATTACATTATATATGTTTAATATATTCTTTTAAAAAATATAAAAATCTTCAAAATTTTTCAAAGTCTTTAAAAGTCTCTAATAAAAGTCTCCACAAATTCATGAAAAACTTTTATTAATTCCTACCAAATCTATAGAAATCACTTAAAATTCTACAAAGTTCACAAAAGTCACTCACTTCAAAAAATTTTCCAAAGTCTTTAAAAGTCCTAATTGAATTAGTCAATCGAACCACTGACAACACCCCCTTTTCAACTGGCTTTTAACATCAATCCACAGACACCACTGGATGAAAGCCCACTGCCAATGCCTAAATGCATCAGCGAAGCTGGGCTGGATTTCTCAAACCACATGACAAGCTTGTTCGAAGAAGTTAGACAACGAATTGCTCTCCAAACAGATAATTATGCCGAACACACGAACCAGAGACATAATGACAAACAATTCGAAGTTGGGGATCGTATTCTAATCAGGCTTCATTCAAAAAGATTCGCCCTAGGCAGTTTCAATAAGCTACATGCCCGAAGAGCAGGTCCTTTCCCCATCCTGAAAAAGCTCGGGTCCAATGCGTACATCATTAATCCACCCTCCACCTTCAACATCAGTCCTGTTTTAAATGCTGAAGATTTAACAGAATTTTGTGGTGAAGAAAGCTAGATTTAGAACAACCTTCAATTCGAATTCCTACAATCACAACCAGTAATGACGAAATTAAAGCAATTCTAGACCACCAATTTGTGTGTATGCGACGAGACGATTATCACAAGTTCTTGGTCAAGTGGGCGCATAAACCTTCATCAGACTCAGTTTGGCTTCCCATTGATGAAGTCTCACGTCTTAGCCTCCGTCTCTTAGATGCTTATTTGCCATAAAAAAAAAAAAAAAAAACTTGCCATAGGCAATCTTTAGGAGGATTGAAATTGATGCAGTTCTAGGCCTGACAGCTGACATGCTCATCTGCACAAGTGGAACACATGACATATGGCAAAGGCACATGGCTTAATGAGATGGGCAAATGTGGCAAGAGAGACTTTGTCTTTTCTTAGTTGTTTATTTCAGCAAATAAGTCCACGTTCCCTATTTGCAAAGTTGTTGATTTCATACTTACTTTTACGTACTTTAATTTAATTTATATCCTTTTGTACTATATAAGCTAATTAGAAGTTAAAACCCAAGAACTGAGTACATACGTAATTGTAATATTAAATAAAATGCTTACCTATGAAGCTGTAAGAATGGAAGCCAAGCTTATCAATAATTTCTTCAGCATTCATTGCTTAGGGTAGATCTGGCTTATTAGGAATACAAGCGAGACAGCATCTCTCAATTCATCCTGTAGCCATATATATATATCAAGCTCATTAATATAGTCATCCTACTTAATGGATAATAACATGTAGATTGCAAGGAAACGAAACATTAAACTAGTAAGAAACAATACAGCCCATTAAAAAGGTATTTTGTATGCAGTTTCAAGGGTAACGGAAACTGAAACTGAATATATTTTTCAAGATCTTATCATTTTTCTGTAACTTTTACCATGAACGAAGCAAAGGAAAGTGACGAAGAAAGAAGTGGCATAAGCAATGCAAAATTAGTACTAAATCTGCGAAGCAAGAGTAATAACTGCAGATACGTAAATGAGAATTGAGAACTCTCTAATGAGGCATGATGACACGGGTGTTGGTTCAATATAAGTCACCTTCAAATTGCATAGGAAAGATGCTCTACAAAAACATGAGCTTGTGGAGAAGGAACAAAAAAAAGGGGGGGGGGGGGGATATAGGGAGAGAAATGTTGGAAATATTTGCATCACCTAGGAAAATGGAGAAGGAACAATGCAGAAAATAATAATCAAGAAGATGAATAACACAACGAACATGAAGGCTCGAACGCGTAATCGCTGTCCTCAAACTATATTTGCCTCCTCTCGGGATTGTTTGAGATGCTTAAGGAATTTGGCAAACAATTTGTAGGATTATATCAAACCTTGTAAAGGATCTAGCACTAAAGCTTAAATGCGATCCTCCAAAACTTTAAGAACACAAAGAAGATAAAAGTATGAAAATAAATAAAGAGTTTAATCTTTAATTTTGGAATGTATGTTGATCTCAAATGTTTTCATTTGATTCCCATATTTTGTATTGATCCCTCCATCATCCATTTATAGATTTGAATCAACACTTCACGAATTGGTGCCAAAACATCATGAAAGGTTGTGAAATACCCTCCAAAAAGCAACCAAAAAATCAGCTTAAAACGGCCTCTAACGGTCACGAAACTAAACCATGCGACCACATGGTATTACTCCATGTGGTCGCATGGAGTACTTCAAATGTGGCCTTCGTTTCTCAGGTGATGGCCATGCGACCGCATGGCACAAACAATGAGCCACCGTTTGGTTTTTATCATTCCACCGTTTTGGTTTCCACCCCGTTTTTCCTTGGCTTCCTTCATATTGTTTCACTCCATCTTCATTCCTTAATTGAATTTCGAACAACAGTTCAACAAGAAATTATACCATGGAATGCAGAATACCATAAATGTCAGCGTAAAGCCTCTATTAGATTTTCAGGGCCAATTTAACCTTAATGATAAATACATGCATTCTTCCTCCAAAAAACATCAAGGAGAACAAGAATTTAGTCTTATTAGATGCTTGGCAGTTGTTTAGCAAATACGTCATTTCAAATTTACAGCAATGTATCAAATTTAATGGTCACATATGAAAAGAAAATCTATTAGAACAACAAGAAGCATCTAGTTCAATATGACCTCTCCATATACTACACTTACTGCTCAATCATGAAAGGAAATAGCTCTAAGACCAACCTTATACTACTAATAAATTGAAAATAGTTTCCAAAATACATACTAACACAATTGATGCCTCAAAGAACATAGCATGAGATACTTAAAACCGGTCAAGGCAGATGCGGTGGAGGATAAAATAACAAATTACACTATAGTGAAGAACAGAAGCTTATATGATGTGGGCAAAGAAAGTTGGAGCAGTTCAAAGAAAAGAGAGACCCTAGCTTTGAAATGGAAAGTAAGCAGTCAATGTACTCTTCAAACTTACAAAATATTTATATTAAGTGATTTGTAATAGCTTCAAAGTTTCAGCTGC